ATTCCCACGGTGCACAGAGGTTCTATTGTTTTGGCTGGCATGTGTATTTTCTCCATTCCCCTTATTGCAACAGGCCTCTCTGCCCCACCCCCACAGCCTGCTCAGCCATCCAATCCACTCACTTGGACAAAGTACTAAAAGTAGGGGTAAGAACATGCAGTTGAGGATGACTGCAGTTCTTCTAGGGTAACTTACAAGTTGGAAAAATGTCATGTTGTTGCTGCTAGCAGCTAGTTCTTAAGGTACCTGAAGAAGGTTCATTTTTAGATTAAAAAGAAGAAAACTGAACAGAGATGAGGGTGGTTCCAATAGACCTTCGATAAATCTGTGAATTGTTGCTTTATCTTTTGTATCACAATAGACCAATGAACTTAAACTTAGCTTAGGTTTAATCGTGTTTTTATAAGCTGCAACCACAAAAATCCTAATTAATATTGTTCCTGTGACTTCAAATGGCAGTCAGCAAAACAAAAAGACTCAGTTCCCAATAACAACTTATGAAAGCGAGCAAGAAGACATTTAGAAGAATATGTCGGAAACTTAGCATTTTGATTTATTTTTAAAAAGCTGCTAATATTTGAAAACTCTTTGCCCATAAGAATCATGCAGCTACTTCTCAAAAAGTAGTCAAGTCAGTTTTTAGTTCACGTACTATTGTACAGTGTGAAATAGAAGGCATTGTGATCAGGAAGTGGAGGGGGAAAGGAATAAACTCAACTGTCCTGGTCAATTATGTTCCTTAGGTATTCAAAAGGGAGAGAAAATGAATGACAAGATATAAGGAAGAGCGACCATTTACATTTCTGGATCCTTTAGCCATCTTTGTTAAAGCTGGGCATGGTGGTGCACGCCTTTAGTCCTAGCATCTAAAGAGATGAGTTTGAGGACAGTTTGCGATACACATCAAGATCTCCCTCATCCCAACTTAAAAAAAATTATTAATAGAATAGAAAAAAAGAAAGAAAGAGAAAAACTGCTTGAAGTTATCTATAGTTTTTTGTCTCTTAACTGTATAACATCCTATTTGGGTTAAATGAATTAGCCATAACTAAATCTGTTGATAGTAAAGGAGGGACTAACTTAAGAAGTCTGGAACTTACTATTTTATTATCAAAGCAACAGTATCCTTTTGAAGGAATCATGGATAAGAGTTCTCCTGCAGACATCCATCAGAAATACTTTCATTAAAGAATATACTGTCAGGAAAATGAAATGTAAATAAAATGCCCTAATATTTTAATGTTTACATACATCCAATAATTGAGCATTTTCTTTCTATGTAACTTAGTAATATAAAGTCTAGGTTAGAGACATGCAACTATTCTATGACAGAATAATTTGACAAGTAAGTGATTTTATTAGGGCAAACAATAAGACTGTTAATGTCATGCATTAATAATTTATTTTCAATAATTGTGTGAATATCCTTTTAGTAACATATGGATTTTACAGCACTTTTGTTTTATAACCTCATTCTTAAAAATTCCAGTGGCTTGTTTTCTTGTATTTCCCTTAATTGTGGTGATCTTAACCAGATCTTCAGTTTTAAATCTGCCAGTTGTTCTAATACAGACGCATAAATATATTTTCTCCAGTTGGCTCTTTCTTACAAAGCAAGCTTGTTTGCGGGTACCGTCGGGACATCTGCATCTTATTGGATTTAATTTTTAGTAATAAAGACCTCCCACATTACACATTCTCCTCAGCCTAAATTTGCTTGTGTGGGAAGCAAAAGAACTGTCAGTCAGAGAGAAAAAAGTAAATCCATATGCTGTGGAGGATTCGGCATCCTTGGCTACAATAAAAAAAGAAAAGAGGAAAGCCGAGTACAGACAGTACCCCAGCAGATCTCATTTGTAATTTTTTTTTTTCAAAAGGCTAGCTGCTGTGGTCTGAATGCTAGTACCCCATCAAATTCAAATGTTGAAACTCAACCAGCAATATGATAGTATTTAAGAGAGAGAGGCCTTTGGGAGGGTTCCTTCCTCATGTATGGAATTAAAGCCCTTTATACAATACTTGTAAAACAAAAAGGTGTTTTGCTTTGTTTTGTTTTACAAGTGTAACTTCACACTTCTATCACAAGTGTCAATTCATGCTTCTAATTTTGTAATATTTATGGTTTTTCTTCAATTGTAGCCTATAATTTAAAAAAATGATTAGGCTAAGAGGGAACACTCATGGGATCTACTGCCCTTCCTTTACTAGTCCTCCTTTCTGAACCAGACGCTGGATCTACTGAAGCCTTGGTTTTGGATTTAAGAGCTTTTCAAAATGAGCAGTAAATCTGCTGCTTATAAATGACCCAGTCTAGCTAGGTGTGGTGGATCACACCTTTAATCCCAGTACTCCAGAGGCAGAGGCAGAGGCAGAGGCAAGCACATCTGTAAATCCCAGTACTCCAGAGGCAGAGGCAGGCACATCTGTAAATTTGAGGCCAGTCTGGTCTACATAGTTCTAGGACAGGCAGACAGCCAGGGCTATGTAGAAAGACTCTGCCTCAGACACACACACACACACACACACACACACACACACACACACACACAGAGAGAGAGAGAGAGAGAGAGAGAGAGAGAGAGAGAGAGAGAGAGAGAGAATCAGTTTATCTTCTAGCATCTATGGCAGGCTAATACACTTGCTGCAGTAGCAGAGGCAGGAGTGTCTTAACCCAGTGCTTCTGGAGGCATCTCAGCTCCTGTTTACCCATGCTCCCTGTGTAGCGTGGCTTGAGTAAAACTGTGCAGAATCATTCCATTTGTCTGACGCATGCTCTCTTGCTCCCGCATCTGTTTCCAGCCTCTGGCTCTAGCATTCTTCTCCATGTTGGGCTTCACCTCTACCCCTTACAATTGCTTATTGTTTTCAGTCAAGCCCTGAGATAGGACACTAAATATGTCCAAAACAGTCAGAATATAGTATCTGTAGCTTCAGAAAGGCAACAGATAGAAGAGGGTAGCACGACTTGGTGTGGTAATAGACTTTCAGTTTTTCAAAGCCACGCATAAACTCCCTTGTGTAGAGGACAAGAACAGAAAAGTTGGTTGGCAGGAAGATACCTAGAACAGCTCAGTGTCAACCACAGGATGGGGAGGAAATTGGGTATCACACACACTATTGGTGTTTCCTCCCTCAGGACAAACAAGGGCAACCTATCATCTTCCTTGTGTTTCTATAAGCCTCTCATCAACCCTGAACTTCAGCCAGAGAAAACATGATTTTAGAAGTACTTTCTATTTAAATCAGGACATTTAACTTTGGTTTAACAAGCTTCTTATTTGCTGTGGGGGTTACCAATACTGCTATGGCTTTACTCTGCAAAACTTTCTACCATTTTATGTCCTCTGAGAAGACATCTGTATACTAACCTCTGGTATCTACGGGTGTGATCTTACATCTGCAAATTGGCTCTTTGAAGATAAAATTGAGAAGAGGTCATTTTTAAAAATAGGGTAGGCCTTAATCCAATGACTGGTACCTTCACTGGAAGACAGAATTTTGGCAAAGAGATGCACAGAGAGAATGCTGCCTAGTGACAGAAGCAAAGGTTGGAGTGGCTTGTCTAAAGTCATGGAATGCCAAGGAGCACTGGCAATCCTAGAAGCTGGGCAGAGTTGAGGAATGATATTCATTTCTGTGTCCTTGAGAGAAAGCATGGCCTTGCCAACACTTTCACCTCAGACTTCTAGCTTTCAAAACTAGAGAGTATATACATCTGTTGTTTTAACCACCCAGTGTGTACTAATCTGTTCAGCACCTCTAAGAAAGCAATATACTACTTAAGTATATGACCAGAAATATGGACAATAAACTGTAATGGAGGGTCAGAGATCTGTGGACATACAGGAAATACACCTTTCTATGCACAAACTTCAAGAGCAGCGAGTTTTTTTTTTGTTTGTTTGTTTTGTTTTGTTTTTTGTAGGTGTGGTGGCACTGAGGAAGCAGGTTCTTATGTCAGGCAAGAACTTTACCAGTGAGCTGACTTGCTCAGTCCTGACTTTTTGACTCAGTCTTGACTTGTTGATGTACTGTTAATAAAAGTAAGCCAGTCTTCTCCAGACTGGGGTGACGGCTTGAAGGGTAAAATCTGAGAAGGACCTTTGCTGGGTCCCTAGCTGCATTAAAGCCAGGTGCAGTAGTAAACTCTAGGGCTGGGAGGGAGGTGGGCAGTGACAGATCAAGTTCCCAGTGTGTTGGCCAGCCTAATCTTTGTGCTCCTGATTCTCAGTGAGAGACCCTATCTCAAAAAAGATGGAGAGCAACTGAAGAGGAACTTGGACACTGACTACTGGCCTGTATAAGCTGCTGCATGTGTGTGCGTGGGCTAGGCCACCAAGCCTGGTACTTGAGTTGGATCCCTGGAACCCACACGATCAGAGAGAACTAAATACCAAAAGTCGCCTCACCTCTCTGAGCCGTGTTCTCATCAATGAAAAGGGGCTTCGGCTCACCATATGATCTTTGAAATCAAGTGTAATTTTATGTCTCTAATTCTGTAATGTTTATGATTTTTCTTCAATTGTAACCTATAATTTAAAAAAAAATGATTAGGTTAAGAGGAAAGACTCATGGGATCTAGTGCTCAGAAACAAAGTAATTGAAGTGTTTTATTCTCCAAGCGTCATTTTGGGTGCTTGGAGTTGAAAGATTAAATTATGTCTCAGCTCACGAGCTGTTCAAGCCTCCTTCTGGCTAGCGCATTTGAACAAATAACCAACACTAATATCTGTGTATGAACCCCAAATCCTGCAGTTAGTGGAATTGGGAGATTTCCTGGGGTTTTGGGCTTCAGTAGTACCAGACCAGGCACTTTAACCTCTTTAAGCCTGTTTATGTCTTGGTGAATTGCTGAAAGGTTGCAATAAAATTCAAAAGCGCCGTTACATGTACGTATACATGTACCTAGAGACACTACTCGGGAAGTCTCATCTCCTAGGGCTCTCGCAGGCCCGGAGCGCGCGGGGCGGAGCAGCCGGAAGTGCCGGCGCGCGCTGTCAGCGACGCCGGAAGTCCTGGGTCGGTCTGGCGGTAACCTTGCGGGCTGGGCCGCTGCTGTGGAGGTGAGGTCTGCCTGTCTGAGCGTTGGCCCCGGGAAGCTCGTTAGCTGCGGGGGGCCGCAGAGGTCGCGCGGGAGGGCGCCGAGCGCCGCGGAGCTCAGGCGCGCGCGCAGGACCTCTCAGCCGACATGTCTCTGGTGGCGGAAGCGTTCGTCTCCCAGATCGCAGGTAGCCCGCGTGGGCGCAGACGGGGCGGCGGGGGAGGCGGCGGGGATCCGCGTGGGGAGAGGGCTGGAGTTTCCTTGCAGCCGTGGGTCGAGGGTGCTGAGCCCACAGCCCGTGTGGAGGCGGCCATGGAGGCTTGGCCTCACTTTCCGGATGAGGAAACTGAGGACACGAGGCCAAGGTCACCCTGTAGGGGCAGAGTCCAGTCCACACTCCCTCCGCGGTGCTTTGTTCCCCGTCCCGGCGGTTTGGGTGTGTGGAGGAGGCCCGGGGTTGGGGTTGAGGTGGGGGCGTGGCCACAGGTTCAGTCCTCGCCTCCCCCAAGGCTTCTGTGGGAGTGTGGCAGCCTCTCTGGTCCTTGGTTCTCAAGTTTAAGGTGACTGTCACTCTTGAGCTGCCTTTCTTTACCCGTTGTTGATGGGTCACCGAAGTTCCTTCTCCAAGCCATTTGCAAAATCTGTGGGATTCTTTGAACTATTCTTAGTTTGCATGAAGTTTAAGGAAAGTAAACATCTTTGACTCTATGGTTCGAACTTGACTTGTAAAAAGATTATATATATATAATATATATTGAAGTTTTTATTTTGGCGAAAGTGGCTATGATAGAGAAAGAGTTAATAGGATGAATGTTAACTCCAGCAGTGTTTTCAATATCCAAATGAGATAGTCACTAAGATAAACAGGCATATTTGGGATAAAGTAGTATATTGGAAATGAAAAGTATAGTGTGTTCTCAACTATTCCATATGCTTTCTACTGTATTGAATTTGTGTTAACATGGTTCCTTTTTTCTTTAAAGTAGCATTTTATAGGAGAGAGGATAGAAGACATTGTAAGCTTCATGAAACCAGGGATGCTTGTTTGTTCCCGTTGTATCCTAGTACTTGTCTGACTTGAGTAAATGAGTAACATTGAGATTTCAAGTAATGGTTATTTCTGATTTTATCACTTAGGTTGAAAAAGTCAGGCCTATGACATGAGATCAGTGGTTTAATTTAGACTGATACTGTGTTATAAATCATTTCACAGTATATGTTCATAGTCTGAATGCATATATCCAACGAGCGATTTCTTTTCAACAAGAAAACAAGGAATGGTATTTGATAAGTTCAGAGTTCTACCTCAGTTAGTGAAGTTTACGAATTTCCAGGAATTTTGTATGTTGTCTTAAGTTGTTTGTCGAGCTCTGTTGTGGTAGGAGGAAGCATTTAAAGATAGATAGTTCATTGAATAGTATTGGAACAGCTTCTAAATCAAAATATGGCATGAATAAATTCTAGATGTATTAAAGATATAAATGTAGCACAAACTAACGTACAATAAAATAATTAGAAAAAAAAAACAAGGACAGATACAGGGTATTATTTTAATAATATTGGATAGCAGAAAGAGTTTCTAAGCAAAACATGGATTATACATTCCATAATAGAAATGGTTGTATAAGAGTTGGTTGTATAAGAATATGGAAAGTTTTTGGTGTTAAAAGACTCCATGAGGTTGTGGGGCTCTTGCCTGTAGTCACAAGCATTTGGGAGTCTGAGACAAGAGAATATTGCAGGCTTGAGGGAGAACATGTTTGAAGCAAAACAAACAACAACAATAAAACTTCCACCATAAATATCTACATAGAATAAGAAAAACATTTAATTGTTAAAAAATTCCCAAAAGAAAGGCAAAAAAAATCTGAATAAGTATTTCATAAAAGGAGAAATACAAACAGACTATGAACAGGTGAAAAGTTGTGTTCCACAAATAACTGATAATTTTTCAATTTAGTTAGGCAAAAGTGAATGATAATCTCTAGTATTGTCAGGGGCATATAGAGTAGAAAAACATTACTTTCTAACTTTTAGTCAGCGTAAATTAGTCTCCCTTTAGGAAATATATAGAAATATTTATAGAAATATTTCCTAGATTGTTATATTTTAATCCAGAAATCATCTGTATGTGGATTTATTTGATAGGGATTTGAATTATTTTTGTAATTGAGGACTCTGAGTTTTAATATATATGATAGTTTGGTTACTCTTTCTTCCAGTAGTCATGAGCTAGTACACTTTTTGATATTTCTTTTGAAAACGTTTAAGGCATCTTAATGTTTATCTGGTATCTGTGATATTTCTCGGTGTGTGTGTGTATGTTTGATATTTCTTGAGTGCCTTCCCAAGACTAATTTGCAAAGGGCATGTTTATAATTAAGCTGCTTTAGTGTGGATTTGCAGTGTTGCCCAAAGACCCAAGTTATCTAAAGTTTTGATCCTCTGTGGCGTTGGGAACTTGTGGCATTGGTAGAAACTTTAAGGGGTGGTGATTGTGAGACCTTCGTCTCTTTTGCTGTGTCCTTACCATGAAGTGAACAGTTTTGTTTAGATATAGCTGCTTCTCCACAGATCCAAAGCAGTTAGACTGCCCTACAGTGAACCAAAACCTCCCAAACTGAGGCGAAAACAATCCTTTTTTCTTTGTAAGTTGGTTATTTCAGATATTTTGTTAGAGTGATGGATGGTAAGCTTACTACTGAAGCTTTCTTTGAATTGTGCAGTGTAAGTGATCCCTTATTGTCTGTTTACTAGCAGTGCAACTCCGGCTCAGTTTCTCATTCTGATTCCGTAGTGAAACTTTCTCTGTCTCCACAACTCCTAACTTTTTAAAAGGGGTTGTGGTTGTTGTTGTTGTTGTTGTTGTTGTTTTTATGCTTACTCGGCTTATCCATCTGTGAATTCGCTAGGTTTGGGGCTTCCAGTCTCTCCTGCTCTCTTCTTAAGTAATCTTTATGCTTCAGGTCTCAGTGGGATTGTTGTCTTTGCAAATTTTTATTGTCTTAAAATATTTGATGTGATTTCCTCTGGTTTCAACACCTTCCTTGGTTTCCCAAAGTCAGTAGGGCTAAGGAACTTCAAAGCCTTTCTATAACTAAGTCCTCTAATAACTAAGTCCTCTATGACTAAGTCTGTTACAGTCGCTTCTTCTCTTGCCACTCCCTTCGCTGAACTCTACACATTCTAAACTACTTGTAATGTCCATCTTTAGCACATCTTCAAGTGTCTTCTTGAAGTAGCCACATCAACAACTCCTGTTTCTTCTTAAGACTCAACACCATTTGAATTTGTGTGTCTAGGACATTTTTTTCCTTGTCAAATGAGATTCTTTTTTTAAAAAAAAAACATAATAATAATAGTAATGATCCATGGCCATTATAGAAAAATGAAAATAATACAGAGAACTGTAAGGAACGAAGTGAAAAATCACCTGACAGCCTACTGCCAAAATTAAGACTTTAAAATCCCATCTCATATTCAAAACTTTGCTGAGCATATCTATCATTTCTTCCTCCTAAATTAAAAATATGGGCATAGTAATACAGAGGGTGCATTTCTTTTGTCATATGCTATAATGGAATCCCTTCTCGTGTCTATGATGAAATCACTTGCTGTCATATTTGAATGGCTATGTACTATTTCATTGTAGTAAAGAAGCCATAATTTACTTGTGAAAACCTAAAAACCGATGGGTTTTTAGGATTTTTTGTTTTGTTTTGCTTTTTTGAGACAGAGTCTCACTAAATAGCCTTGCTGTTTGACCTGGATCTTGCAATGGAGACCAGGCTGGCCTTGAACTTAGAGAGTTGCATCTGCTTCTACCTCTGAGTGCTGGGGTTTTTAAGATATTTTATCTATCAGTATAAATGAAAGATTGGAGACAGTAGGTGCTCTGTACACAGGAATACCCACACCAGCTCATACTCTTATTGTGTGGCTGACCAAGCAAATGGAAAACTTGAAAAGCAGACTTGTTAGGAACAAAAGACCTAGGACGAAGAGAAAGCATTTGGGACCAGGTGCTATTTGTATTGTGTGATCTCAGGGAGGACTTAGTCCCCCTTTTAAAGGGCTTTAAAATGTTTAAGCCAGTTATCCTTTTGAAAGTCATGTAATTATGAATTTTAATTGTATCAGTTTTCCATCACAACAGCACCTACATTAGTATTAGAATAACCAGAAGTTGTTTTTGCGTGCATCACAATGGCTCTTAGTCTTGTTTTGCTTTTCTACCACTTATTGTGCAATATTTCTGGCAGCCTATATTAACTAGAGAGGAAAAAGAGAATTTGGCAAGTCTGTTTGGTCAAGTTGATGTGTGCCAAAGCCATTGAAGGTATATATCATTTTTCTCTTTGCAATGGTGCTTGCATTTGTGGGATAAATTTCTTAAAGTTGAAGAGGAATTTGAATTACTCTTATTCCCAAGTAACATGGAAAGAAAATAAACGATGACTTTGAATGAACAGTTTGGCTTTCTAGATTATTACAGGCTAGATTTGGAATTTAAAAAAGATAAAACATGGTCTTGGATATTGAATTATCTTAAAAACTTTAAAAGATGTATTTTATTTTATTATGGACATTGCCTGCATGTATGTCTGTGTGATGGTGTTGGATCCCTTGGGACTGGAGTTACAGACATTATGAGCTGTCATTTGGGTGCTGGGAATTGAACCCAGGTTTTTTTGAAGAACTCCTAACCAGTGAGCCAGTGCTTCTAACTGGTGAGCCATCTCTCCAGCCCTTTAAAAAATTTATAATCAATCTCTATATTTTAAATTTTTATTGTTTTTTTTTTAATTGACAAGCATTCCTAACATAAGTTTCTGGTTTGTTTGTTTGTTTATACTTGAGCATGAACATGTCCCTAAATGTAAGTATCTTGGAAATAAGTGGGATTAAAACAAGAATGTTTTAGCTCACCAATGATGCTAGTTTGACTAGCCATCTTGCTCCAGGGATCCCTAGCTCTGCTTCCCATGTGATGGGAACTAGGATACGTAATATCCTAAGTTTATTCTTTCAACAATCTTAGAAGGCATTTACTATTTCTCCATTTACTGTTAGATGAAATGTAGCTCAGTGGTAAGCCATTTACCTATTATGTGGGTGACCCTAGGTTTGATCCCAAACCTCAAACACAGACACACATACGCACACAAAAACAGGTGTATTTTAAAA